TTCACAAATGACCATCTGTACCGAAAGGATTTTAACTCTAGCTCCATCTATATATACCCAAATGGACAAGTCAGAGCTTCGGATGAAAAAAGATGTTCTGGAAAACCTTCTGTTTTGTTTTGCTTATGAAGAAATTGAAGCCCAGAAAGCATAAGGGATCTGCCAAGGTCTCCCAGCCAGAAAACAACAGAGCTTAGACTTGAACCATTTACATTTTTCCAATGCCAGGCCCTAGAGAACTTTCCCCACTATGTCTGCTCTACTGTGACATGAGCAAGCCACTTAGCCTCTTGAATCCTCAATTACTTTGCCTACAACAAGAGAGGATCAGTGGGTGTATCAGTTAGCTTTTACTCTGTAAGAGACTGTCCAAAACAGTAGGTTTTACAACTGCTTTATGTAGCTCCTGATTCTGTAGAGTGTCCTGGTGGCTGTTCAGGTCAAAACGGGCTCAGCAGATTTCTACTGGACTTTCTCATCCTTCTGTGATCAGCAAGTGGGTCTAGGATAATCTAGTAGAGCTTCACTGATAGTTCTTGTGGTTGGTAGACCATTGATTGGCTGGAGATTGGCTGCTCATCATGTGAGGTGCCTTCATTTTCCTCCATAAGGCATTTCATCCTCCATCAGTCTTGTACACCTGGTGCTCTCAGGGTTCCAAACATAAAAAGAGAGGAACTCCACTGAGCATACTCTTTGGAAATCCTTGCGATGCCAAGTTTGCTATTCTCTCCCTGGCTAAAGCGACTCACATGATGCGGTTCCCAATAATTCCTGCCTCCTGATATTCATGTCTTTGTGTAATCTCCTTCCCCTGTATGAGGGATAGACCTCAGGACTTGCTGCTAATGTATAGAATTCGGCACAACTGATGGGATATCACTTCTAAGATTAGGTTATAAAAGACTGTAACACTCTCTTTGACTCTGTGTGCTTGCTCCAGTAAAGCAAGCTGCCATGTGTGAACTGCCCTACGGAGAGGTCCACGTGACAAGGAACTGAGAGAACTCTCTAGCGAATAACCAGTGAGGAACTGAGACCCCCAGCCCAACATTTCCATCCTGCCAACAAACAGTGAGTGAGTGAACTTGGAAGCAGACCCAACCCCAGTTGAACCTCTTAGGTGTCAGTGCAACCATGCCCCACACCTTCATTGCGTTCTTGTGAGAAACTTGGAAGCAGAGGACCTACCCAAGTTATGCCTGGGGTCCTGACCCATAGAAATGGAGTTGTTTTAACTTAGTAGTGACGTGTTATATAGCAACAGATAACTAATACCCAGAGTTAAGTTCAGAGTCAGTGGGGGAATATCCAAGGGTGTGGTTGTAGGAAGAGTAATTATACAAATTATTCACACATATTTGTAAACAATTTACTATAGGTGGACTTTTTCCAGCCTTTGGGAGTCTGAGATGGAATAATTTTCACTACTTCAACAATTATTTATTCTCTGTGCTTAGAACTGGCAACAAGATGGTGAATAAGACAGAGGCCATGTTCTTGCCCTCAAGGAGCTTACAGTTTGTGGCAGGGGAGGTGAAGAATGAGGAGAGATATTAGTTCAATAATTCCTTCTTTAATTATTTGTTTAAAGTTATATGAAGGAAGAATGGAGGTTGGTCAGAGAAAGCTTCTTTGAGGAAGTGGCACATAAACTGAAGAGGCAGGCAGGACAGGAAGAGAAGGAAAGAGGAAAATTCCAGACAGAAGGGTAGCATTCTTAAAGGGGAGGTGGAGAGGTGGTCAGCACCAATGGGACAAGTACCTGTATATGATCAAAGTGTATCTTATCATGTAATAATGATGTTGTGGGTTATGGTTTTAGGGATAAATGCAAAAATATTTATGGATGAAATTATTTGATGTCTGGGATTTGCTTCAAAATAATCCAGTGGCAAGGTGGGGGTACGAGTGGGTGGAGCTATAAAGGAAACAAGAATGAGTTAATCATTATTGAAACCAGGCAATGGGATCAAGAAGGTTAATCATACTAGCCTCTCTACTTTTGTATATATTTTCCATACTAATACTTTAAAAACTTGCATCCTGACAGCACATCTTGAAGGCTGTAAGTATATATGTTTAGAGGTCAAAGGACATTTATTTCCTCCAGCTCCACTGCAGACAGTAGAGGTTAATAGTATCTTTAGGGCAAGGGGATGGAATGAGTTTTATGTTATAGAAAATGTAAAGGCTTCTCAGCTTCAAATCATGTGGCTAACATAAAATGGGGATTCTGGGTAATTTACCTTGCCTCCTGGTTAAAGTGCTATATTGCATTATTTCTCATGCTCATTTTTCACTAGCTGAGATGGTATGGTTTCATATATAGTAGAATCTTCTACCATGTTTCACCCTAGAGTAGAAGGCAAGGGGAAGGATTCTGTTTAAATATTAGCAAAATGCTGTAAAGATTCTGTTATAAGGCCTTATATAATATGGGTGGTATTAGAGTGCTTATGGGTTGGGGAAGGAGAGATATAGGGTAAAAGAGATGGGAATCCCCCTTTGTTCAAAAAATTCTGGGTTAGCTTGCTACAGCAATAATGGATTATGGATTTATTTGATTAAGTTTTCCTTTTTTTTTTTTGAAGATTTTATTTATTTATTTGACAGAGAGAGACACAGCAAGAGAGGGAACACAAGCAGGGGGAGTGGGAGAGGGAGAAGCAGGCTTCCTGCTGAGTAGGGAGCCCCATGCGGGCCTCGATCCCAGGACCCTGGGATCATGACCTGAGCCAAAGGCAGATGCTGAACAACTGAGCCACCCAGGTGCCCCAAGTTTTCCTTTTACTCATGTTATTCTGAGGTGGGTCAGACTGTGAAATTAATAGCCAGAATAGACAGATTTTATGAGTCAGGGATGTATTTCATTAGGATTTTTTTCAGGAGAGGGGCGCCTGGGGCTGAAGCTGAAGAGATGATGCTTCATATTTATAGCTGTTTCAATGTTAAGTTTTGGGGGAACCATATTTTGTGATTTTGATTCTGACCTCTCTTGAAAATTCCATTCCCACTAAATTGAGTCTCTCCCTAACCCCTAATAAATGAAGACTTCACTCAAATCAGATATATGCAAATTACATTTCCCTTCTCAAGCGAAGGTTAAATAAAAGGGAAAATTATAAAAGATTGCTTATGGCAGCAAGGATTTTCTGTGCTTGAAGATGAATTTCGTTATTTCAAAACCATGACGAGTCTCCTTGTCAGTGCAAAGCAGGAAAGGAATAAAGTAATGGAGAAAGTGGACCTGGGCATAAATATGTTCCCACACAGCACTTGTACTGAAAGGCTTTGTTGTTGTTCCCTGAACCTTGGCAATTACAGGCATTTTCCTCTGCTCTGAAAAACGGCAAATAACTGAGAGTAGGTCCCCTCCTTTTCTGTGTTCAAGGCTAGGTCTGGCCTTGTTGCAGGGAAATGCTAATCCCCAACCATGCTCCCTGGGAGCAAATGGTTTGTTTTCTCTTCACTGAATCCAGCCCGGGGTGGGTTCTCAGCAGCTGAGCCTGGCATGGAAAATCTACTTGGAGCAACTCGTCCCCAGGAGGGAAGAAGGCAAGCTGATCGTGCAGAGGAGCCTCAGCCACCATCCGGGCCAGTCACAGCCGCTGGCCAGGGCAGGCATTAACACACAAAGGCACACACAAGAGTCTTTGTGTGTGTGTGCAGACAGGAGTCCTGTTTGTGTGCCCACACCCACATGTACCACACACACCCAACTCTGCCCACATATGCACTGGGCACACACACTCGACATACTGGTCACAGGTCCCACAACGGCACACATACACATATACACAATACATATGTCACCACATACCATGTGTATATACACAAAACGTATGGAACCACATCCACCCGCACACTGTGTACACACATACACAACTGCACATACTACACAGACCGCATATACTCCACTACACAAACATACACACCACCCACACTCCACATTGGTCGTATACATCCACACTACATTCTCCTGTATACACACACCTCATCACACACCAGGAAACGGTCACATGCACCATGCACACTACACACATTCCATATATACCACGTACACACTTAACACATCCAACCACACACATATACCCACCACACATACTCAACAGACACAACCACATACCACATACACACCCATCAACACATTCCACACACCAGTCTTGTGCACCGCAAATGCATCTTTCCGTCTCTGAGACACACACACACACACACACACACACACACACACACACACGCAGCCCCCATCCCCCACAGGTTACTTTCCCACTCAGCAAGGTGGGGCTGCAGCCCCCATGGAAACTGGGGCTGGGGCGGGAGGGCGCCCTCAGGGCCAGCGGGCAATGGTTCCCGCGGGCGCGGCGGCCCAGGGCGGGAGGCTTGGGTCCCTGGAGCGTGGCGGAGTGGCCGCGCCCGGAGCGGGACGCATGCCCTGGGGGAGTGCGCGCGCGCGTTCATGCGCGCGCGCCTCCGAGGGGCCTCGGTGCCTACTCTGGGAGGCGTGTACGAGGGAAATGTGAGCCGCGTGTGGGGAGAGGCTGTGTGTATGAGAAAAACCTCGCTGGCAGATGCGCCGGGACCAGCCCACCGAGCGGCTCGGGTGGGCGTGTCCTCGGTGTGCACAGTCCTCGGTGGAGTTCTCGAGACGACCCACCTCGGCGGGAAGTGTGTGTGGGAAGTGCGCGTGTAAGCTGCTGTGCCTGTAAATACCAAGCCGCCGAGGCGCTTGTATGTTCACAATGGCCGTCTGTCGGTCGGCGTCGGTCTCGGAGGAATGAGTGAGCGTGTGTCAAGGACTTGCTGTGACGGGAGGGGACGCCGACAGCGTGTGTGAAGAGGCCGGGCTCGCTGACCGACGCTTGGCGCCTGCCGGGACCGGTCAGCGCGCGCGCCCGTGTGCGCGTGGGGACGCGGCGCGCGCCGCGGCGGAGGAAGGCAGGCGGCGGCAGGCCCAGCCCCCGGTCGCAGCGCCCGGGGCGGCTCCTCTGCGAGCCTGGGACGCCGCGCTCCCGCCGCCACCAACACCGCCACCAGCAGCACCGCCACCGCCACGCGCGCTGGCGTGACTCCCGGCCCGCGCCCTCCCACGCCTGCTGCCGGCTCGGCTTCCTGCCCGCCCAGACGCCGCTTCTCCCAGGGTCCGGGCCTCGGCTCCGCGGAGGGAGCGGAAATGAGTGCGGCGTCGGCGTCGGCGCCCGAGCGGGGTTGGAAGAGCGAGAAAGTGGACGAGGCTCAGGCCCTGGCGCGGAGTTGCGCTGCTCGCAGACCCGACTTCCAGCCGTGCGACGGGCTTTCCATCTGTGCCACGCACAGCCACGGCAAATGCTTCAAGCTGCACTGGTGCTGTCACCTAGGATGGTGTCACTGTAAGTCGAGCCGCGTTTCCCCGCCTTCCGCCACCGTCCCGGGGCGCTCGCGAGGCTGTCCGGGGCCGCGGCTGGGACTCTGCGGCTCCGGGCTTGGCCGGTTGCTCTTACGATGGTTGGGGCCACCGTGGGCTCCGGGCGGGCGGGCGCTGACCTGGCGCCGGACGCCTCTGTTGGCGCTGCCTCGGCAACGAGATGAAATCCCATGGGGAGACTATAGCTTTAGCCACTTCTACAAAAGGGGATCTCCCTGTCCCAGGAAAACTGGAATCTGTTTTGGTTTCTTTTTCTTTTTTTATTTGAAATGACCAGGCAGTGTGCTGAGAAATGGTAGAGCGCCGTCAGAGTTGACAGCTAGAGGGGAAGCCTTTTTTCAGGGCTGGTGGTTAAACATGCTCTCCTTTCTTTCTCACTTTTCGTCTTTTCCAGGCTGCTCTTAAAAAGAAAGAGCCCTTGGTAATCGAATTGTGGCCCATTTATTGTATCCAAATTGAGAAAGCGCTAAAGTGTAAGGGACAGCTTAGTAATACTACTAAGAAGTTAGTATTAACAGTTTGGAAGGATGAACTCTTTCAATACCTAGTTGTAGCATATGGAGCCAATATAGGAGACTGTTTTAAAATTACAAAATAAAATGAATGAAAGTAAGCTTAAAGGATATTAAACCAATTTATAAAAGCCAGAACTAAATGGGCTAGGCCTTTTCTGTTTATCTTGCCTGTGTTTTTTTCAAATGGATTAAACTTAAGTAGCCATTTAATCAGAATTCCACAATTTGATTAGTTCATGGTATTAGGTCTGCTACATCCAATAAATCATTTTTTAAAGAAATATGTTATAAACTTAGTTTCCACATACCCTTACAATGGAGGTTTTTGGAGTGTTTATTCAGGACACAAATTCTCAAAGTGATCTTAAGTTAAAATTGTTTTTTCCTTGTTGGTTAGAAAAAAATGGCTCCCAACAAGACATGCAGTACATTGACAAGTCCTTGTTTAGGTTAATTGAACGTAGTGAGATATTTTTAATTTGAATTTATGACTTAAAGGATAGAGAATTCCTACATTTTCTTTACATTGAACAGTATTGATTTTTTGGTGTGTGTTCTGTGTCCTGATGGTTAAGTTTCTTGTATTTCATTATTCCTATTGCTCTCAGATCCGTTCCCCGTTATAAAGCACCATTTCAGTGGGGGACAGGGTACAAAGTTGGAAGTAGCAGCTGTAGGAAACCTGTGATGCTGAAGTGCACAAGTATGGTGAATCTGGTGAGAGTCCATTCCCTAGGGAAATATAGACTCCTAGCATAGAATATGAGGAACATTAAAGATGGTCAGTTCAGTGCCTGTCTTATTTCAGCAGTCTCTCCACTAAGTACAACATTCCTGATGGGAACCTTGTATTCTTCTCAGGAAGCTTCTTAAGACATCTTTGATTCTTAAAATACTCTCATATGGAGCTGAAATCAGTTACTTTCTAACTTCTTTCCACGGGTTTTATTTCTACCTTATGAAATCATATAGAACAGTTTCATCGTTTTTCAGAACATGGCTTTTTCAGCTCTTCAGATAAGCATATGAATATTCCACGGACATAGACTATCTTCTCTCTGTATGCCCAGACATTGTCACAGTGTCTGGCCTGAACTAGATTTGAAATTCATGTTCATTGAGTGACTGAATGAAAGTAGCCATCATTTTCCTCTCAAGGCATTGTTTTGTCCTATTTATAAATCTCTATTCCCTCCTGCCTCTCCTTTTGTGGAGTGGTATCCAGGGTCCTGAGCATCCTGGTTGTTCTGTTCTAAACATGTGCCAATATGGTTATGATCCTTTGAAGACTGTGACCCTCCCTTAGAAGGATACACAACCTCCCATTTGTGGTCGGATCAGTCCAGCATCGAGCAGGACTGCTGCCTCCCATGTTTGAGATACTGCTACTGCTGCATCTAGCATCCCATTAGCTTTTCTGAAATCCTCATACCGAGCTTGCTGCTGTCAGATTGAAGTGAGACTGTTGTCAATTAAAGCCATTAAACCCCTTTTTTGTTTGTTTTACATATGTGTCAGTTAAGTCGTGGGACTTGCTTATCTCACAGTTCTATATGTATTTTTTTTTTTTTGGACACTGATACCTTAGATATTTTTCCCTATTAAATTGCGTCTTAATTAGAGTTAGCCCATTTATCTGGCTTATCATTGTTTTTTCCCAGCTCTTTCTTAATACATATTTGTGCTACCTAGTTTCATGTCAGCCATATATTGGATGAAGGCAGTAGTATAGTAGCCTTTTGCGTCTTCATTCAAATTACTGATAACATTTTTGAATAGGAGAGGGCCACAGAGAGGCATCCTGAACCTTGTGGGTAGAACAGACCTTCAAGTTGATGGCACTTCATTAAGAAACATTCATTGTTATGATCATTCAAATAATTAGCTGGCAGTTGTACTGTTATCCACCTTATATTTATCTTAACCATATGGCGTAATGAGAACCTGGTCATATACCTTGTTGAAATCCTACCTTGTTGAAATCTGATACTATTTTTATTGCTTCTTTTTGATACAAGTCTATAAAGACATTCTTTAAAAAAAAAAGGAAATTAGATTAGTCTGGTTACTTAAGTTGGTTCCACAAATGCTTACCATTTTTGTTTCAAGCTGTTTTTTAAATAAATAATTTGAATTTAGGAAAGGATTGATGCCGAGTATACTGGACTATTTTGTTGTCAATTCTGTTCTTTTTTATTTATTTTTTTAAAAAATCAGATCTACATTTATTTGCTTGTTTCCAGTGTTTGGCAACCCTCCAGGTCTCCATGCTTCCTCCATTAGCAGTGATTCAGTGATCACATTCACGAGGAGCTTCATTTCATTTACAGCAGCAAGGTGCTCTGTTACAGTCTTCTCACCTATACTGGGAATCAGTTCTTTCTACCCTTTTTTAGTCCAAATATCGTTTTTCTTGAAGAAAAAAAAAACAGAGTTCACACATTTGAGAAGTTCTGCTTTCTTTTTGGCACTCATGAACATTACAGCATCAGTCCTAAGCAAAATTCTTTTAATTCTGTTGAACGTGTATTGAGCACCTTCTCTTTGTGAGACGTTATTATGGAAACTAGGGATACAAATATTAATACAGCTGGGTCATGCCCTTTAAGCAGAGTATAAGGACATGATTCATGCTGTATTTATTTTTGTATTCCTTTAAAATCACAAGTGATATGGGTGAAAAAACTATTAACTGTTCACCAAATGAGAAAATGCTGAAATGATAGGACCACTTTGATACTTGAGAGAGGTATTTCAGAACAAATGAAGAAAGTTCAGCTATATATGATTTGTGTTAAAGTTGTGAAATTCATAACCTTATGAAATAGAAAAGGTTGATAATATATACATGTTTATAAAAGATATATAAAACATACATAGATGTGGTACTTATATTATTAAAGGAAATAGTTTATTTGGATAATGACAGACTTTAAGGACTATGTCTGGGAGGAAAACTATGAAATGTTCTATAGGTGTCGCTGTCAAAGAGAGATTATTGGGTTAAATAAACTGTGGCCCTGAATGTGTAACTTTTTCCCCCCCATAAGGAGTGATATTGGATGGAATTAATGAGTGAAGGATTCCAAGAGGAATTTTGAGAGAAAAAAAAGACATGGCTTTTCTAGGAAAGAGGGATTGGAAAAAATAAATCATATGCAGATATTATAAAGTAGATTTTGTGGCTAGAGCAAGTAGATTATTTAGAAGGCGTAATACATTAGATTGTTGAGATGTAAGTGGGGGATGGACAGGAAAGGTGAGAAGTCTGAAGTTTCAATTGATAGAGACCTTAACATTATCGTAATAATATGGGTAGTAGAGGAATGAAACTAGCAAGGGAGACTATTTTGGTATTAGTGTAAAAAATAGAAATTCATACAATAATATCCATAAATGGAAATTGGAATAGATTAGATTTAGGGAGGAAGAGGAAAGTTATAAAGGATAACTTCTAGACTTCTGCCTTACGCATCTTGGATGGTTGGTGGTGCCATTCATTCACTAACAACACAAAATACTAGAGATGAACTAGGGTTTGACTGAACATGGATAATGAATCCAGGGAGACCATGAATTCAGTTTTGGATCTATTGAGTTTAAACTGCCTTGTCATCACATGGTAATGTCAGTAGGCAGTTGGGTATGGGATCTAGAACTTAGAGGAGAGGTCTGCACTAAAGATAGTATGGAAGTCATTTATTTATTTATAGATTGTAGTTGTGGCCATGATGAAGCAAGAAGACCACCAAGGGAGAGACTATAGTATGAGAAATGAAAATGCTTAGGCTTTCCCTTTAAAATACTAATATTTAGAGTTTTGGGTATAGGAGGATGAACTCGCAGTAGAGTCTAAGAAGAAATTCGAGAGAAGAAAAATATGGAAGGTTTTTTTTTTTTTTTTTTGCAGATTTTATTGCAGAAGCCAAGGGAAATGAGTGTCTTAAGAAAGATTATGAAGATTAGGGGCACCTGGCTGGTTCAGTTGGAGCGTGTGTCTCTTAATCTCAGGGTTGTGAGTTCGAGGCCCATGTTGGGTGTAGAGATTATTTAAAAATAAAATCTTTAAGAAAAGAAAGAGTATGAAGATTAAATCAGTTTTTAGCAGGTTATTTCTTAGATATTGGCAAAACATACAAATAGTGATTTTCTTTATTACTGAAGAAGAGGGTGAAAGGTTTAATCCTGCAACAGTAACTTCAGGAATATATTTAATTACAGTATTTAGTCACAGTTATTTGAATTCTTCAAAGTAGAAAGAGAAGAATAGAATGACAGGAGCTGGGGTGCCTGGGTGGCTCAGTTGGTTAAGTGTCTGCCTTCGGCTCAGGTTGTGATCTCAGGGTCCTGGGACTGAGCCCCGCATCGAGCCCCTCACTGAGCTCCGTATCCGGCTCCCTGCTCAGCGGGGAGCCTGCTCCTCCCTCTCCCTCTGCTGCTCCCCCTGCTT